GTAGTAGAGTTGCTCATACTTAAGTCAATAAAATGTACAAAGAGCAATAAACAGAAAAGCAAGTGTGCAGTCTCCAGAACTTTACTAATAGGGTGAATCTTTTAGTCTGTGTCAAGACCAACAAACAGAAGGAAGCAATATTATCACACTCAGGTGAAAGATTCACTGTATGTCACAAAACGGCTCATTAGATTTATGTGCCTGGAAGAAATATAATAGCTGTACCAACATAACAGATTTGAAGAAGCTGAATTTGATACCACATGTGATGATGTACGTTGCATATGTAATAGCAGCAAAGTAAATGACAGCCTTAATTTCAACTTTTCTTGTTATGCTTAGTCTAAGGCAGACCCTTAGGCTAAATTTTCTGGTGCTGTGCAGCACGAGTTAGTTTTAAAAATACCATCATTGTTAAAGAAAACTGTGCAGCTAATTCCCTTGGTAGCACCCTGAAAATAACCCTTTAATTTCTTTCCAATGTTACTTCTTCAATATTCACAGGAAAACCGGTTTTGAAAGCATTATGTTTTGTGATTCAATGTAGGGCAATTACAGCCAATGTATATCTGGGGAAAGGGGTGTCTAGGCACAGTGAATATATTTCTGTTGTGAGGGGGTACTCAATTACTGATTTGCAAGAGGTTCAGTACACTCCTAAAATGTTAAATCCTCTTCTAGGCTTCTGCAGAAAATTAAATGTAGATAAGCCTACAAGATGGCAGGGCACCACTAAGCTATGCACATCACATAAATTGCAGCCAATATTACATATGTGGCAACAGCACACAACCTGTCAGGAAGTGAGTGAAATATCAACAAACAAATAGTGAAGGCCCAGAGGGACTCAAGGAACTCAAGGAAGGAACAAATGGTTTCAGACTTTCAAGGTATGAATATTGCACTGAACTGTAATGACTTGCATATTGCCTATACCAATCAACATGCTATCATAATATTTGCTACAATTATTTAGCAATGATACATTATTGATAAGTAATTTCACTTCATGAAAGGTTTAAGTGATACACACTTTTTTTTTTCTGAAACTAACAAGAATATCACATATGACGAGCTTTTAAAGTTTTAGAAGTGTTCTAACATTACATATGTTATGTACATGCATGTATATGAGTCTTAGAAATACCACAACATACTTATATTTACTTGGTAAAATTAGTTGGCTATTAGAAGTGTAATATCTAGATCTATTGTTTATGCCTGTGCTGGGTCTTAGAATAATTTTCCCACAAAATAAACAATGCATTTTAATTCCATTAATGATGTATTTTTAGTTGGTGCTAAATATATAGATAGAACATATATATCATCTATGTATGTTTGAAAATGTTGGTTCTGTTAACCTATTTTTATCTTCTTGTTGTCTATTACTGATTGTTTTGTTTATTTTTCAGCACGCCCTCTTGTTTTAGAAACTAGCACAGTATGAATTCCCGAGCTTTCTCCAATTTTCAACACAGTATTGCTCTGTCATTAGGGGAGGCTGCAGAATCCAAGATTAAAAAAGCAAAGCTTGCTTCAAATACGGCAGGTAGGTTATTTTTAATTCCATGTAGAAAGAGTCAAATTTCCTCCACTTACGTGTTCAGTCAGAATGTGAAGTTTAAGAAATCAGCGTTTTGATCAAAAATATTTTGCAAATTAATTTGCACCATCTCTCATGCCAACACGACCTGCATGCAGTGGTTCATGTTGTGAAAGGATGGTCAGCACTGGCCTGCTCATTTTCCAATAATGATTACGTTAAGTAATGTTACGTGATCACATTCAGACAAAATGAGTCACCAGCTTTCTTGTTTTGCACTGACTCCAAATCTTAATACTGGAGTAGGCAGCTCTGATGCTGTTTCATTGGAGAGGAGGAACACAAAATCAGCTCTTTTCATCTTTGTATTTCTTACGGGCTTCAAAGCAGGGTAGGATAGGGCAAAAGTTTGTCACTGGGGTTTCAGATGCCAGGTGGGTCATTTGGTTTCAGGTACTTTGACAACTTTTGAGTGCCATCATAACTCTCTAGAGCAGTTAACAGCTCTGCTGCAAACAGGAAGAGGACAAATCTAAATTATGTCTCATGACTAATCCAGACCATACGGGGCCTAGTAGAAGGTACAAAAACTTGTTTGATTTGAAAGATTGATTGAAAAAACTTTCCTCCAACTCTCAAATCATACATCCTTCAAAAAGCAGATGCCTTTTCTGCTAGTTATGGCACAGACCAAAAGACCAAATACATTAAGCAGTTCCTGCAGAAACTACGATATCTCTGAAGGAAAGTATCTCCCTGTAAAGAAAGCAACACAGACAGTCTAAATTAACAACCTATTTCTGTCTACCGACTGTGCAAGGAGCCTAAGCACCTCCAGAAGCACTAATAGAAAACAGGACAAAGAACGGAGGAATGTTAAATACTACAAGGTTGCATTCAAACAGCCCTGTTTAATTCAGGACTTCCAAGCAATGGCCCATCCTTGGGGAGTGTTTTCCGTTCACATAGCTCAGATTGAGAAGGGATGATGAGAAGACGACCCCCTTCACGGATCTAAGCACATGACCCTCTTCCCAAGGAATACGACATATCCGAGCCCTGTTGAAGCTGGATTGCCACACAGGCAGGACCACATGAACTGTAGGTTCAAGCAAGATATGGGGAGCCTAACTCTGACCCAGGGACACTCTGCTCTGGTGGCTTATCTGGGGTTCTTTGCCCCCTGAGCTGCTTTTGTTTTTATCCCAAAACTGCAGAGTCCCCAAATGAAGGGAAAGACCCTAAAGTGCTGAGCACAGTGTAATCCAGCTGCATGCCCAGACACATAGTCCATCCGCAGCCTCCTTTCTAGGCTTCTCCGAGGAGCAAGGCAGAGCACAGGTGCAATAGCAGCAGTGTCCTGCAGCCGAGGACTTGCCATGCTCTCTGGGCCAAGGCAACACTGCAGGAGCCAGGGACTTCAGTGCCTGCAGCTCTCTGCAGTCTAAAATCAGGACGCCTCCTGATCTCCAGTGACTGCAGACAGGCTGGTGGATAAGAGTGCACTTTCTACATTGTGTTCACATATACAGGCAGCAAGACTTCACCTGGAGTCTCAGTTTAACTGATCTCAATATAGGTATATTTTTTATACTCATTGAAGATCCTGGTCTCCTAAAGCAGAATGTAATCCTTACCTGGGTAGCAGCAAAGATCAGACAGGACAACATTTCAGCTAACAAAAGGTAGCGTCACTACCTAGAGGTTTTGCACCTAAACCACCACAACACAGCAAAATACCCAAGATTTGCAAACTCAGCTCTAATTTTCAGGCTAGTTATGGTTGTCAATCCAGAACAGCAAATTCAGGATTTTGGCTCAATCATTTAAAAATATGACTGACCGCAGACTTCAGATGGATTTGTATCATCCAGATTCATATTTAAGACTTGGAAACATGTGAAAATAAGATTTGGTGCATGATTGATCTTAGTTATGTACAAAATTATAAGTTATTGTTGCAAATTTCAGCAAGAATTAACACAATTTTCTACTTTAACATGCTTTATAGAGCTTATATAGATAAAATGCAGTGATCAGTTTTCTTCTAGAAATCTCACAACAAACACTTAATGTTAGGGAGCAGGCGAAACTGCTTTTGAATCAACCCACCACCGGCGATTATATCTCTGTATCTGTTTAGTACAAAGAAACCCTTCACTAAAGATGGTTCTGAATAAGCAGGCTTATGAAAGATTTCCCTAATATTTATAACTGAAATTTCAGTCCACTGGTTATTCTACGTATTTCAAATCTTTGACTGCTCAATGCCATGTCCGATTTGACTTCAGTATGATTTCCATTCTCAGTAGCAAAGAGCATAAAGTGTGACACACTGTCAAACCTCTTTGCCTTGCTAGTAGTGCTCACCAGACGAGCACAGCAAGAGTAACCACAGTGCCTGTGGCAGAGGTTTTTCTGAGTTGTCCTTTTTTTTTATATTGGGAGATGAGATTAAGGTAGGTGTTTTGTGACACAGCAATGTGAAGAACAATCTTCACTGATACATCACCAAAAATTATGAGTAACTGACTCTTTCTTGACCTCTGTCCTTCAGTGACACCAAAGGACAACTGCCTTGAAATCACATCCTGTAATGCCTCTATGTTTGGTAGAGCCAGTCAGTATCCTCAAATCCATTGCATTCTCTTTCTACATAATCCACAAAATTCTCCTTCATGGTGACACACACAAAAGAAAAGCCTTTAGACAACAGTTAGTCTGCTGTAGCCACTGCCTATTCAGCTAGTATATTTTTCTATTCTTTTCTACTCCGTTGCTTGCCTCCATCTATGTGCTGTTTCTTCAATGTAAAGCAATTCATAAATCCAACCCCATGATTGTGCTCTTCATCACTATATTTGCTGTAAATATAGAAGTTAAATAAAAGTAAAGATCAGTAACTCACTCTCTCTGCCATTACAAGAATTTACTTCCTATGCTGCCCAGTTTGGTTAGATTTAGTACAAAAGCAGCAGTCCAAATTACTATACTTTGACAACTTTGGGTATTAGATCACATATTCCACATCCCCAGAGTGAATGTGTATAGCCTCTCAAAAATACAGTAAGCTCTCATTTTGCTAATTTTAACAAGTAGAACAGAGTATACATTGTCTCACATTATTGCATGTATTCTTTCACCTGGAGTGTAATTCAAGTTTGCACCCCAAATTACCCCCAGTCAGAGGAAACTCAGAAAAGTATCGCAGAGATCTTGAGATGACTGTTCCTGTAGCACTGTTTGGCACACTGCAATATCTGAGACAGCCAGACAGGGCTGGTAGACGTGGCACCCCACATACAGGAGGCCTGTAGCCTTCTCAGGTAGCTGCTAGTGGCCAGGTGGGATATTTTAGGGCACCTAAGGGAGCTAGACTCCTAAGTTCAGGCAACTGATTTACATCCATAATATAAAATGCATACTTCAGCCACTGTAACACTGTCCTTATTACCTTGACCCGTTAACCTGATTTGGGTTACATTCCATCTTGATGGTTACTCTGGCTGGGGGCTGCGATAACCAGTCTTGCTGGGGAACACGTGGACTCATCTTTGATGTCTGCCCATATTCACTGGAAGAGGAGGCGGTCATCTCTGTCTTCGCAAGGTGGGGCGATACGTAGGCACACTCAAACAAGGACTGGTCTTCACTCACCACTGATAGTGCTTCCTGAAAAGCAGAGAAGTCAGCATGAGAGTGTTTCAGAGCAGATATTATAAAACCACACAAGAAAAAGGGGATGCTCATCTCATGACAAAATGTACCACTGGCTGCTTATCTAAATGCTTATTTGTTTTTAGGCATGCTACCTGTACACAGGGGAGAGGATTCAAGTGCCAGGCGGGCTGTCACAGAGACAACATGTCCCTTGAAGCACTGGCCTGGTGAGACATTCCCTGCTAATGGCTAAAAAGATGCACTCACATGCTCTACTAAACAGTCAGGAAAAATGGCTGGGAGCTCAGTGAGAAGAGTGCAGGAAGGGCAGTGAAGTTCAGGCCTTTTACTTCCAAGATATGGATGGAGAGGGCCAGATTTGCACTGGGTGTAAACTGTCACAGCCGCATTAACTCTCCCTTCAAAAAACGATTAGAAGCTGGACTTTGCTGACTCACTGGGAGTTTCTCTTCCTTCCTTTAGGATTAAGGCCAATCGCTTTCTGGACGAGAAGTTGAGATACAGCTGGGTGTAACCTCTGAGCTAGGGATGCTGCTCTTTCTGTGAGCAGCAGAGAGGCAGATCAGGTCAGGATTGCCACCGCACTGGTGGAGGTGCTAACCGGGCTGGACACTGCTCCTCTGCGTGCACTGCAGGAAGACGCTGTGTCCATCAGCCCTCTCTCCTATTCTGAAAGACACCTCCTCACGTGCTGGTTAGACATCCCGCTCTGCCGCTATGTGGGAAGGACTTCCCCAGGCCTCTTCCCTTGCTGTGGTGACAGTGCGGTTGCTGCACCTTTCCGGCCCCGACCATGAGTTCAAAAGATGCATCGATTGCGCGGCAGCTGCAGTACTAGCCAGGCAGAGATCAGGCCCAGGAATTAAGTAGTCTGTGGATATATGTATGAGGGAAGATCATCCTCGTTCCTCATCCAGGTCATGGGAGAAGATGACTGGCTCGCGAATACTTTAGGTGCCCACCTGGTCCACCAGGAAGCAGAAACTTGTGGAGGGATCTATACTACCTAACCATAGGTGTCTAAGTGGGGTACACATGCCAGTGGGGTCCACGACTGTGTCAGCTGGTCTCCACTATGGCTCCTGCCTTCTCTGGGGCTGTCAGGACTGAGCAACCATGGGGACAGCAGGGCTGGGGAGCTGGTCTGCCAAACCCCAGCTCTCCAAAAGAAAAGCCTTCCCTCCACCTGCAGGTCCCTTATAACTGCGTAAATCAGTAGCAACCCACTGCAGCGGCACCTCCCCTCAGCATTGCCCTGACGTGTGTAAAACGGGGGGCAGCGCGGCACGTCTGTGACGGCAGGGCTGCTGCCCCCCGCAGCGGAGCGAGCAGCGGGGTTGCCAGACGCGGGAGGTTTGGCGGCGCCCCCCCCCCCCCGCCGCTCGCAGCCGGCCCAAGGGCAGTGAATAGCGCAGGGCTGTCTGTGGAGGAGAGCAAATCAGACAGAGGAAAAAAAAAAATGAGACAAGAGAGCCAGGGCAGTGGGAATCCTTGGGCTGCGGGATCGCACACCACTGTCTACCTTCCTGAGCTGCTTTATACAAGCTTCGGCAGTTACATGCTGCCTTAAAAACCAGGAGCCCCTGCTTTTCTCTCCAGTCACAAGGGCTGGAAGCACGGTTTTCTCCTTATTGCTTCTTGTGAAAATAGAGATTACCCCTTAATTGCATAACCTGGGGGGCTGGATCTCAAGCAGAGCTCCAAGTACCAGGAGACTTATGATGGGACTAACCAACTAACCAACTCCCTCTTCCCACTGCAGGCCAAGAGGCAAAAATCAGACAGAGATTCGTCATGTTTCATTACTGCTATTTTGGATGCTGTTTGAGTGCAAAGGTCACCTCCAAAGTATCAGCATTAA